TTCGTAGTCTCCAAAAAAATCATTCGAAGTTTAGGTAGCTAGCTAGCTACATACTGGTTGTAAATAGTTTATTTTGTTCAGGTGCTTATTTTTCAACYTTTTCTTTGCCTAACGCACATTTTTTTCTAATGATTTATTTTTTTTTTGGTTGAAAAAATAAGAGAAATTTCAAAAAATGCTATTTTTCAAAAATGCCACACTTTTGAAATTTTTACAAAAATACTACTTTTTCAAAATTATTTTTTCTTTATATTATTTATGTTTGAGTTAATTATGTTCTATTAGGGTTTAGTTTTGAGTGTTTAGGGGGTTTTAAGTGTCAAAACATTTTTTAAGGTTTATAATTTTAAGATATAGGCTTTATAAATCTATAATTAATGTCATTTTTGTAAATGTACACTAGCATTTTTGTAAATATTCATACAAAAAGTGGTATTTTTGTAATTGTCCAAAAAAAAAATGATATTTTTGTTGTGTCCCATTATTTGGTGTAAATAGTAAAACGTTACGCGATCTATCTACTGGTTAAAGACAAATGCGACCTGTCGTTATATATATCGAAACAACGGGTTCTAGGTCTAGGTGTATCAGAATATCTTTATCGCATATATGTTTGATGATATCTCAAAAGAAAAAAAAATTTAATTTTAATAATTTTTATTTAGTAGTTTAACCAATATCTGAGTGATATATATGCAGATATTATAAAAACCATATCTAAACGAAGAAACGTCTCTCTTTTTCTTACCTCCTTTTTCTCTGTTTATTATATTTTTTAACCAAGAGTATCAAGTTTAGATACCTCGTTAATCATACTCACTGATCGTGCATGCATGTGAACATGTGATATAAAGGTTTTGTTTTATTTTAGAAAGTCTATATAAAAGTTATTCCTAATTGTTAAAAATCATAATTTGTTATTCATATGGAAAGTGAAAATTATGGCTTTTTATACAATACTCCCTCTATCCCATTTTATTATATGTTTTAGGAATTTTTATTTATTCCATTTTAGTAGATTTTTCTAAATTTTTATGCAAAATTTATATTAATTAAATAAATTATAACCATGTATACTCTGTCGTATATTTTTTTATTGATTGAAATATTTTTAGTTAAATAATAAATAATATTTTTAATGATTTTTTAATTTTCACGTTTTTAACTATTTTTTTTTATAAATTAAGACAGAGAGAGGGAGTACTTGCCTTAGAAAATTATTTGTATGTGATAATTTTTGTCAAAAGCTTAGTAGAGACTTGGACTTTATACGGAAAAAAAAAATCTTGGACTTTTTAAGTCAAAGAAAATAATTGTTATGATAAATATTATCATCATTTC